AACTCTGATTATATCTTTTGAACTTGTTTCGTGATTTTTAAAGCAGCTTGATTGATATTGAGTCAGTGATTTCTTGGTATCATTTGAGCACCTACTGGAAACTCTTTTGTACTATTCTACTTAAAGGTTAAATGACATTGAGTATTAGCTCATACCGTGGATGATGCCATTTTTAAAAACACCCCACAGCTGGAAAATGTGGTTCCTGCAACTGTGCAGTTGAAGCTATTTGGCATGACTATGCATTGGCCCCATACTACCCTGCTGTAAAACGTACTGCTTTGATACCTATTGCTCTCCCAGGGCACGTCTACACTAGGAAATTATTTCAAAATAACTTATTTCAAAATAATAATTCCTGAAATAACTGTTTCAAAATAGCATGTCCACTCTATAGGGAAGCCTTGAAATTAGTCTGAGGCGGGCTTCTTGTGTGGATGTGCTACCTCGACTTAGAGCCCCAGGAAGCACTGGGGAGTAATTACTTTGAATGACTGTGGGGTGTAGTTATTTTGAAATAGCAGCAGTGGAGCATCCACACTACCGCTTTTTTGAAATAACTATTTCAAAATAAGCGTTATTCCTCATGGAAAGCAGGAGATATTATTTCAAAATAACTAGCCCCTTATTATGAAATAACGGGCTTGGTAATCTGGACGCTTCGCTTGTTACTTCGAAATAACTCCCTAGTGTAGACCAGGGCCCATGGACAAACCCCAAAGATGACGTCACGTGGCATGAAACTGCTACAGCTTTGAACTTACTGCCTGTGCTGCCTTTCCCTTAGGCTATGTCTAGACTGCAGGCTTCTTTCGAAAGGGGCTCTTTCGAAAGCATCTTTCGAAAGAGCCTCTTTCGAAAGATCGCGTCTAGACTGCAGGCGGATCTTTCGAAAGAGAAATCCGCTTTTTCGAAAGAGAGCACCCAGCGAGTCTGGATGCTCTCTTTCGAAGACGGCCTCTTTACATTGAAGAACGCCTTCTTTTGAAAGAGGAACTTTCGAAAGAAGGCGTTCTTCCTCGTGAAATGAGGTTTACCGCCATCGAAAGAAAAGCCGCGTTCTTTCGAAATAATTTCGAAAGAACGCGGCTTGAGTCTGGACGCAGGGGAAGTTTTTTCGGGAAAAGGCTACTTTTCCCGAAAAAACCCGAGTCTGGACACGGCCTTAGAGTGCAAGATTCCTGAGCCATGTGCTGGGAGATGGGCACACGGCCATCAGGATGAGCAGATACGTTGGGAGTACTGAGGCCATTCCCATGGCTCATGGGTCTCTCTTCCATCCAGCTGTCCAGTTTCCTACAGGGGAGAATGGCTTGGAAGGGAGCTCAGTTTCACCACCTTGTGGCCCAACCTGCTCTCTTCCCTTCAGCCCATATGCTATGATGCAGCACAGTTCACGAGAGGCGTGTTGCATACAGGAAGGGGTCTCATTGGATCACACAAGGCCATATTTCTTTAAATGTGTCCACATGTGGCTGCCGCTTTGCTGCCCTGCACAGGTGCAAATAAGGGAACAGATGCACATTTTAGCACAGAATAAATAAAAAACTAACTACAGAAAATAAACAGCAGGATGCCACTTCCTGCCGCTTGGCTGCCTGCAACTAGCCTATCACCTTATTTGTGCCCATGCCACACATGTTCTCCTGTAGCAGCTGCATGCCCTCTGCGCAATGACATGTAGGGTCAAGAACGATGTCTGTCTAGGACTTCAAAGCATGTCCCCCCTTTTTGTTTATATTCCACTGTTAAAATGAGACACACTAAAAACAGGGATGTGAAAAATACCATTGAGAATGTCACTGTTGGCATCAGCACTTACACATCAAATAACAGGCACATTAGAAAATACCTACTATGGAGAGATTCATTAATCCTACTAAAGGGTTTCCTACTAAGGCTACTATTCCATCATTAACTCACCTCATGATATCTGGATAGTGCAGCACAGAGGGCATGAGAAGAGCACCCAATGTTATCTAACCCCCGCAATACCTAGGCACAATTGGCTGAATTTAAGACAGATTGGTAGAGAATTTCCTTGTTTTTGAAACAGTATATTCTTGTGGTAGTGTTTGCGTAGTTTGTATATAAATGCCATACATCATACCACCATCAACTTGGGAGGAATTCCTACTGACATTACTAAAACTATGCTGTTCTGAAAAGACTGAGATTTCTTCACTCATTCAATCCTTAGCGCCTCTGCTGAAACTGCCAGTGAAGGTGTCGAAGCTCTGACTACTTCAAGTATGTGACTTGTTTCTAGGAATCTGATTAAAGCTAATCTCCTCCAACGAAGATTTATTAATGCTGCCAATACGTACCAAAGAGGATTTTCAAGATCATAAACTGGATGTGAGTTAGTCCCTTTCAAATCTCCCAGTCCCCAAGATTTTTGATTTACAAAGAGCTGATGTTCCCTATTTGGATATCCAGGGTGGTAAAAGAACAAAATATAAATTTCTCTGTTTACCCACAGAACAAACACAGATTTGTACTTATGCTTTAATCACACTATAAAAGGACCTGATGATTTAATTTTGTTGGACTAAAGACACACAGAGAGTCAAATATGTTAATGAGATGCTGTCACTGTCCTATACCAAATAGTGACAAACAAGGTTTGGTATACAGAAACATCAGTTTGCATAATACCATGGCAAACACATTAGGAAATCCATGTCAAAGGTTAGAAATGTATTGATTGAAACATACAAAAGGAGAGGAATCAAAATGAAGCAAAGAGCATTGAAGCTGAAATAGAGTGATTATGTAAAATAATCAATCAATTCCTAACAAAGTCCTTTCTGGAGATGGTGAATATTTGTTATATTCTCTTATTCAGTCAAACAGGCCTTGGTAAGGAAAAGAGGCTTAGTTCTATTGTTCAGTTCTGAGTCAGGAAAGACACTAATTTCCCTGACTGGAACAAATTGATAAACTAAACAGTAATAAGTCACCAGGAGCAGATGGCATTCACCAAAGAGTGCTGAAGGAACTCAGATGTGAAATTGCAGAACTACTAAGTGTGGTATGTAAACTATTATTTAAATCAGTGTCTGTATCAGATGATTGTAGGATAGCTAATGTGATGCCAATTTTTAAAAAAGGCTCAAAAGACAATCCTGGCTATTACAAGCTGGTAAGCCTAACTTCAGTACTGGGCAAACAGATTGAAATCATACCCCAACAATCCACTAGAATTCTTTGGGGGCATCAATAAGTATATGGACAATGCGGATTTAGCAGATATAATGTATTTAGCCAGGGCTAAAGTTAGTGGGGAATGGAGAAGAGCACACAAGGGAGGAAAACAGGATGCCTTATGTATGAGGCTGGGGTTCTTGCTGGTGCAGTGGGGATGTCCAAGCATCCCTACTGGAGTAGCAAGGTCTGGTGTCATAATAACAATCCTTGCAGTGATGGTAAAAAAGTTTTTGTTATGGTCCTTCCCAAAGTCTCTTCATCAGGGTCCCCAGAAAAGACTGAAATATCTGAGCCCCCTCACAGATTTCCATAAAAAAGGTGATTTTTCCTCAAAAAGTTTTGAACAATATTTTTTATTTGCTTTATTAGTCTGAAAATGGTTCCATTTAGACTTTGAAATTAACACTGCATTGAAATGAATGGGATTATGAAAGGCTGATTCTTAGCTTTTTTTATTGTAATTTAGCAGTAAAAAGTTTTCTACCAGTTTGTATTGGGATGGCAGCTTCATTACAACAGGATTCTTTTGAATGGAAGCTTAGAATTTACGGACTACAGAAAATTGTCAAGAAATGTTGCACTATTCAGTTCTCACCCCCTTCTGGGGGTACCAGTAGTCCTCAGTCTCACCCCGTCACCATGGCCAACTGCAGCCCCGAAGTCCAGGCCTCTTGCCTCAGGAGCAAGATGCAGTTAGCATAAGCTGTGCTTTGTGGTGGCTAGGTGCGGAAGAAAGGTGGGACCCAGACATGTCCACTACTCCGGGTCCCAACCCAGGGACCCTCAGGTGGCAGCCTTGTCTTGCCTTCCTTCTCTCCCTTCTTGGCCCATGTGTGAAGGCCAATAGTCTGGGATGGAGCCTCTCTACAGCTCCCCTGAAACTGCCCAGCACTGCTTTCTCCAGGTGCTTCTACTCCCTTCCTGGCCAGCACAAGAGTGAGCTCCTCTCAGCCCTGCAGTCTTTTATAGGACCCAGCCTGGCTATGATAAGAGTGTTCTCTGCTCTGTTTGGCTAGAGTTGCGCAAGCCTCCTCTTGCTTGTCTGTAACCTCTCCCTGCTGGAGTGGGCTATAGCACCACTACATCCTGTCCCTCTCCTCCACACAGTACAGTGAGGACTCGGGGTTTTATTGCTCTTTGCAGGAGATAAGAGGGTGGTGATGTCATACACGAGTGCTGGAGCACCAAGGTAACACACAGATTTAGTTGGGGAAATGTCTACTTAGCCTTGGTATATGTCTTTTAATTAACAGCTCTCCTTCCTGTTTTTCAGACCACGGAATGTGGAAATATTGCTGACTCATCACCTGACCAGACACTCACAGCTCTTGCAGTCCTCATTAATGTAAATACATTGTAATGATTAAGACAGGTCTACACTACTGCATAAGTTGATAGAACTTATGTCACTCAGGGGTGTAAAAAATCCTCCCAGACCCAAAGCGACCCAAGTTTTGCACTGTCCACACTGGCCCTATGTCGCATAGCTTATTCTGTGCTAAGTATTTTAAAATAAATAAAATAAATAAAGTAAAAAGTATTTTTCAATCTACTTTTGTCCCCCTTGCTTCTCTGGGTATTGGATGTGTTTTTAAAATAAAGATCTTCAACGTACCCTGTGACTGAAATGTAAACTATCCATGAGAAAGCCCTTGAATTCATATAAACATCCATCAAGCTCTACTAAAAAATATGCAGGTTTTGTAACCATTTATAATAAGCTTTATGCTCAACATATTCAGAATCCATGCGTACTGAGATTTGCTAGTGTTCAGACAGAGACAATACAGTAGACAGGATGCTCTTTATTTCTGGAAATTGGACATTCTTTTCAATTATCCACAATGCAATGGTGTGTCAACATACTGTCAGCTCATGGAACAAGCATCTAATAAGGAATAATCATACTGCCCAGTGAAGCTAAGGAAAGCTTATTTACTCTGTATAGTTTGGATTCACAGTTGCATTTCAAGATTCAAGTTAACATGACAGTTAAAGCACAGTTCTGAAACATTTTCACAAGCTTATATTTATAAGAAATATATCATTACTTATTTGTAATTGCAACAGCTCCCAAAAGGACCATTCAAACTCAGGAAGATACATTATGGAAGGCTTCAGTATTTGAGGCATTAACATCTGTATAAATCATATGAAGAACAAGTGGCTCAGATTTTCTACATGTGCCCAATCAATAAGTGAGTGTTCATGAGTTGTAACCACACATGCACAAGTTCCATATTCATGAATGCAAACTAGACCTACGTAGAGGTGTGCACACTTTAGAAAATGTGGACCTTCAGGTACAGAACAGTGTATTTTGTTAAATTAAAAACCATAATTCAAGGACAGATTAAAAACGGCCAATAAATTATACTCATTCCCTGGATCCCATTCTGGATTTTAACACCACTAGCACTGCCAAACAGTTACTATTTCTCTTGATTCTTCTCTCACAGTTTTCAGTTTGGCTAATAATTAACAGTAGAAGAATGATTGTATGGATAATTTGTAAGACTAGGTGCCAGGAGACTTGGGTTCCAGTCCTGACTCTGTCACAAGCTTCCTGTGTGACTGTAGACAATCACTTAATAGTGCTGTTCCTCAGTCTCCTCATCTATAGAGGCAATGATATTAGCCTCTCACACAGTATGTTGTGAAGTGTAATTCATGAATGTTAGTAAATTACTTTGAATTCTTTCCATGCAAGGGGTTAAATGTAAAGTACTATTCGTAGTGAAGGCTGTCGACTAACCTGCATACCAATATAAATGGTAAATAAGAACCATGCTGGGGTGAAATAGCCATCTTCCTTCTTATTTATCAAAACACTCAGGAGCAATGCCATACTTAAGACACTCATCGCTACTCAACTGGAAGAAACTACATCTCCCCTCCCCCAATCCCCAAATGTCTAGCTAGAAGGTAGATTCCCACAAAAATTGTCTTCTCAATGCACTGCACCCTTGTTATTGCACAAGGATGAAACTTCACTGAGAGAGGGAGGGCAGAAGCTATATATGAAAGATGCAACAAAAAGATTAAGGGCTGAGTTAGTCTTTGTTGAGATAACTTAGTGTAATGTAAAAAATAAAATCCACACATTGTGAAACTAGCTTTCACAACTGAGGCTCTTGTTGGCATTTTCACTAGAATGAACAAGGAGGTAATGGATATGGAATGACAGGGAAAATGAATTAGCATCTCAAAACAGGCAGACGGATATTGACAGAGTTGTCTGCATAACCACTGCCCATGCTGTTCCCATTCATTGGATAAACTTCAATCTCCATCGTTATCCATCCAGCCTTTTGCTCTAAAGGGACCTAAAACCACCATAGCCAATATACTTTTATGATAAGGTCTTATGTGGCTCATAGGCACCCCTCTTATTGAGTCAAGATTAATAGTCATAGATGTGCAAGATATCATTCCTCTACTCAGGCATATCTATGCTAGGAAACTATTTAAAAATAACTAAATTTGACAACTTCCGATTTTACAAAATTGAAATAGCATGTTTCACTATGGGGAAGCCTCAAAATTGGTCCAAGACAGGCTCCGTTAATGAGGATGTGGTATCTCGACTTCGAGCCCCAGGAAGCACTGGGGAGTAATTAGTTCAAATTATTCTGAGGAGTAGTTATTCTGAAATAGCAGCACCAGAGTGTTCATACTAATGCTATTTCGAAATAACTATTTTAAAATTAGCGTGATTCCCTGGGAAAAGCAGGCGTACAGATTTTGAGCTAAGTGGCCTGTTATTTCAAAATAATGGGCTTGGTGGTAGTGTGGACTCTCCGCTTATAAATTTGACTTAAAGGGGGATTATTTTGAAATAAAGCCCTAGTGTAGACCAGGGCCTTCAGTGGAAGAGTTGCATATGGGTTGATTGCAGAACAGAATCAAAATTAGGCAAAGCGTAAAGGTAACTGGATAAAGGAACTAGTATATTAGGCTTTTCCTACACTGAGCTGGTTCTGTGGTAGCTGCTCTAAATTGGTGCCTGAACAGAATTTAAAAACCTCATCAGAATTTGTTTTTAAGTTAGTACAATAAGAGCATTGTGTATACTGCCACTGATGTACTCTGATGTCAATGAAATCTATGCCTAATAGAAATACTTTTCAATTTAAAAAATCCTTGTTTTCTCTTCTGTTGCGTGATAGACATATGCCAACTTCCAGAATTTGCTGCAGAAAACTGTGAATATGATATGACATTAAAGCCTTGTCTAGTACAGAGAAAACATCTGACACTGGTTGATATATTTTCCTTAAGAAATTTTTTGGAACTGACCTTTTCTGGAAAACTTTCTGTGAAATTTATCGACATTATCAACATTTTATATTTTGCATGAAATACTTCCTGCAACATTGTAATTGCTATTTTAATAAGCATAGTCATAAAATTATTAATATTTTTTCTTTTACAGAAAGTCCATTTTTCAATAAGAAAATAAGGTTTTCAATAAATACAAATTTGGTAAAAAACTTGGTAAAATATTGATTAAATAGCAATGCTAAAAGTTAGAGTATTTGTGATAACCTGTACATGGGTTCATTTAAAATTTCACAAAACAGAAATAACTTTAAAAATGTCTTCAAAATAATTTCCCCGTTTTCCAATATTCACTGTGTGAGGCGGCAAATGTTATGCTGTCATAGGCAGCAAAACTCATTACCCCAATGGTGCTCACAAGATGGTGAAAAATCCAGGAAAGTTTTAAAAGGTTTTAATACTTACATTTGAATTTTATCCCCCATCTGCTAGTTCACTTTTTCAGTTGATTGGTTACCAGCTAGCTGCCCTGTTGGAACAAGTGAACTTATTCCCAGGCATAACTTCCAACTAAAAAGACAAAAATGCCTGGCAAGCCACTTTAAAAAGAAATTAAATGAGACAAAACGTTTGTGAAGCCCTTTCCAGGCTTGTTAAAAAGCTATATATTTTTTACCCATGATATTTACCATCTTTACATGATGCCCCAAATTAAATGAGAAGGTAGAAAAATCATAAGGTAAACCTTCTGAATTAAGCAGGTTCAAATTTTCTGTTTGAGAATATTACTTGAGGAAGAGTGGCCTGTTTATCCTAAACAGTTCATAGATTTGGGGGTTTTTTTAGACAAAACATAGTCATAGAAAATTAAAATATAAGATTTATCCCATGAACTTGTACAAAAAATTTCCATGACAAATTATCTCCATTTTTGTCCATCTCTCAAGCAAGGAAAAGTCCCCTTCAAAGTTTAAGATATGAGCCAACAAACTTTATATGAGTGCAAGTTGAACCTTGTTGGTCCAGCACCCTGGGATTTGCTGGACCAGTGAAGGCTCAGCAACCGCCTGGCTCCGCAGCTGAGGCTGGAGCTGCACAGCCAGGTCTGAGTAGAGGGCCAGGGACAGAGTTTCCTGGCTGCCGCTGAGGCTGGAACTTCACGGCTGCTGCTGAAGTCAGAACTCCCCGCTGTGCTGCCCGTTCCTCAGGCCCCCACCCCATTGGGTTGCCAATGTCCCCTAACACACTCTTGCCCCACCACCAGACCTCCCTTTTCCTGGGCTCTGTGGTCCAGGAATATCCGTGGTCCATGTCAGACCACGGATGTTGCTGGACCAGAGGGTCCCGGTTAAGGGAGATACAACCTGTAGTCCCTTTGATTATGCAATCAGCCCCTAAATCACAAAACAGTGTGTCAAAGTGTGAAACTGTACCTGAATTACCTGACCTTTAGACAGTAGATAGTAAAACACAAGCATAAGGTTCAAGTTCCTTCATTATCTGAACTTGTTTAGACTATGTCTGTGGGAAATTACCTCAATATTAGTTTTTATTATTAAAGAACACACAAAATGTTTAAACTAATAAAGTTTCATGGATGCTTCAAACAGGGCAGATAGCTCTTCTTCAGTCTGGGGACGAGGTGATAGTTTAGTCACTCAAATTAGATTACATAAAAGCTTTTTGCCAAATAGTGTTAAATATACAGTATAGAATGTCACACATTACTCAGCACTACTGACTGAAATCCATTCTATAGACTACACAAGATTTTGCAAACTAATAAAGCAAGTGTTCAATAGAAGAAACAAGGCTAATTCATCATCAACTGTACGGTAATCAGTTATTTTAACAAGTGTATTTTAGTTTACATTATTTATAAACACACATACCCACACCATCAAGGTTGCGAAGTCAAATACTCAAAAGTTAGGAAATGAAAAAATAAAGTTGCCTTTATAACCTTCTTCCACATATGACTGATAGATCACAAGGCCAGAGGAGACCATTGTGATCATCTTGTCTGACCACCTGTATAACACAGGCGAGAGAACTTCCCACTAAGAATTCTTTTTGAACTAGAACATATATTTAAAACAAATCCAATCTTGATTTAAAACTTGCCAGATCTATCAGAAACCTTGGCAATTGTTCCAATCGTTAACTACTGTTAAAAACGTATTCCTGGCTCTCAGTGTTCTGTGATGTTATTTAGCTCTAATTTACTCCTAAATGTCCCATAAGGGTACATCTACACTGCAACACTATTTAAAAATAACTAGCGCTATTCCGAAATAACTTAATACACGTCTATACAGCAGGCAGTTATTTTGAAATAGTGTCAAAATTCTGTCAAGCTGGAGGACTTCTTACTCCAACTCCTGTGACCCTCATTGTAGGAGGAGTAAGGGAAGTTGGAGGAAGAGTGCTCTATTTTGAAATAAGTGCTGTGTAGATTCTCCCTATTTTGAAATAAGCTATGCAAATGATGTAACTCAATTTGCGTAGCTTTTTTTTAGTTAAGCCCTGCAATGTAGATGCACCCTATGAGACCAGTAAGCAATGGAAGTGTTGGTAATGCTGCTAGACAATACTGACCTCCCAGGATTTAGCAAATTCTCTGGTTTAGCACTGGTCAGGTCCCAACGGTGCTGGACTAGAGAGTTTGAACCTGTACCTGTCAATGAAGGCCCCCTGCCTGCCAGATTTTAAGCCTCTGTTCCAAAGCACAAAGGAATGAGAGCTTTCCAGAGAAAAGGTTGCCAGAATTTACTCGGACAAAGCCAAGATATTTTTCCATTGCTTTGTTCTTGGAAATGACTGGACTATTTTAGGTAACATTTTCCAAAACCATTTGTCTAAAGCAGACACCCAGCAAGAAAAAAATAAACTCAAAAGTTAGCAAAAATTATAAGTAGAACTGTGCATTCGGTGGCAAATCAAAAAAACTTTAAAAAAAACCCTAAAAAAATGCTGCAGGGCAACAGAGTTTTATTTGTGTTGTTTGTTTTGTTTTTTAAAATAAAATTTGAGTAAAATTTGAAATACACAGCTGTTTGAAATCAAAATGCTTCATTTAAAAAATGCTGAAACAAAACATTTCCATTTTTTGAGTTTTTTGATCAAAACAATTTGTCATATTTGACATGAATTTGTAATATATTTCAATCAACTCAAATCTATATTTTTTTCAGTGAGAAAGAGTTCCATCTGGAAAATTTTGCCCAGCATTATTATAAGGACTTGAGAGCATGGCTTCACAATGGGAAGTGCTGGAAACCCCTAATAATAGGCAGGGCTACCAAGTGCACATATATACTTAAGTATATTTAGTATTCTGTGCAATAGAGCACTACTTTGTTAAGTCCTATAATACAGGACCTCATTAGAGCAACCCGCTGTTAAACACTTGCTGGAAAGGGGGTATGAAATTGCTGGCTATGTGTGGAATTTTTAGAGAATCAGACAGGTTTTACTGTAACATTTATAAATATTGACAGCAACATTTTCACACTTGGATGTTTGAAGATCAGCTCCTAAATAAAAATGATCTATTTTTAACGTGGTTGAATACTTGGCCTCTCCGCAACTTCAGAGGGGCTACGTCTAGACTGCCATTTTTTTTTTTGGAAAAAAGTACGCAAATTGCACTCCACAATTTGTGTACCTTTTTCTGATTGTTTTTTTTGGAAGAGGCTTTTCCAAAATTTGGCTTATCTACACTGGGCTAAATTTTGGATAAATCTCCTCTTTTGGAAGAGCCCTTATTCCTCATAAAATGAGGAATACAGGGATTCCAAAAGAGTGTGTCTGCTCTTCCATAAAAAATGTTGGAAGAGCAGACACGTTCCCTGGACGTGGCGGAGCTTTTCCGGGATACTGGAGATATCCCGGAAAACTCCGTAGTCTAGACATAGCTTGGAACTTTTAATTTTTTTTAAAGTAGGCTGTCAAATGCAGATTTAGGAGCTTAATTTTAAGCACCCACCTTTGAAAATGTTAGCTTCAATCCACAACATGGGTCAAAGTCTATGAGCTACTGAATGCCTCCCAAGCTCTCATTGAAATCAATGGAAGTGGAAGCTGGTTAACTCTTAGCAAATTAGATTATCAAAAAACAACCTTTAATTTAAATATCCCCAACAGGTCTGGCAGGGCCAAACAGTGAAGTTGTTTAATGAACTAGCTTTTTACCTGTGGGGAATTATGTTCATGTCCACAAATCAGATTACAAAATGGATGTTCAGGAAGAATGTTTTGATCTACATGAGGATTCAGCAGAGCATTAAGAATATACTTAAATCCTGCTGACAAATTAAACTTAAACACATGGTTTGTGCTTTGCTGATCTGAGCCCTAAACCCTATAATTTGTCTCAAAAGTTGCTAGACTAAGTGAAATTATTAGATTGTTAACGTGGGAGTTGTGCATTATTGGAACAGCGGTGTTGCAAAAGATAACTCCACTTTAGTTTTTGTTGTTGTTATTTATAGCAGGTTATGACTAGTATTTCTACTCTCCCATATTCAACAGCTTCATGAGATTTATTCCCAGATTGTGCAGAATTAAGAATAGCTACACTATAGAGAAATAGCTAACAAGACTTACATCATATTACAAAAAGGTTTCATGTACTTAGGACAAAAACGCAGGTTGTACCTAGGCTTAATACTATTTTAACACTAAAATTTTTTTTAGCTATTTAAGGTGCTCAATGGTGTCCAAATTTCCTGCCAATCAGTGGAGTGCACAGATGGGCTAGGAACAACCTGTTTAAGGATGATGGGAAACATGACAACTGCAAAGGTCCACAATGTTTTCAAGGGCTCTGGATGGAATATAATGAATAGAAAAACTTACTATACCTTTGAACATGTGCAGGTTGCTTTGCCTTAACATAGGCTTGGTGATATTGCCAATAAAGGGGAGTGAAACCATGTCAACCATGTCTCAGACACTCTGAGCTGGTAAATTCTGGTGCCAAGGCTAGTCATCTATACTCCTTGTGCTCATCAGTAGAGCCCTGCAAATCCGCAGATATGTGCTTTATGTATGTGGGTATCTGCATCCATGGATGTAGATGAAGATATCTGCGACTCATTTTTGAGGATACCGATGCAGATGCAGATGCAAATTTTGTATCTAGAACTCTGAAAATTTGCAGATATCTGCTTTATATCCACAGGTATTTATATCTGCGGATGTGCATATCTGCAGCTTATTTTTGTGGATACAAATGTGAATGAGGACACCAAATTTTGTATTGACGCAGGGCACTGCTCATCAGTGGTTGGAGTCAAATTATGGATGCCTCTTACATGTTTACATGGAGGTCAAGTGGGGTTAGAGTATAGATCTTCTATGACTTCTACTTCCCAATCCACCCTTTCCCACCCCCAAACCAGAACACCTATACAGGACCAGCAGTTATCTGACTCATGGAACATAAACTTCTTCTCCAGATTTCCTTGCTGAATTGCAAGCAGGATCATTTTCAAAAGACTTATTAAAAATGCATTATTTCAAGTGTAAATATGTGCCAAGGTTTCAACCCTCCAAACCAGCTCACTAAAATCTGTCCATCATTTTATTTCCTTGCGGCATGTGTTCTATGTTTGTTTATTTGTGGTCTCAATCTGCACCAAGGTATTTTGCGATGATTAATAGGTGATGATAGCGTTTCAAAAACTACTCATGAGAGTACTGCATGGAAAAAAAATATCAATGAGTTATTGTTTGGCAACTTACACATTGGGCAGGCAGCAGCAAATGAGTTCTGACATTATACTTTATATACTCAAATAGAGTTTGAAAACTCATTACCTCGCATCATTAGACATGCAATCAGTAATTACTGATGCAGTAAAAAGACAGTAAATTAAGAAGAGCTTCTGAATTAATAATCAGTTACAGATGAGAAAAACCCTAAGCCAAGGTTAACTTAAGTAAAGCAGCAACAACAAAAATAACTCCTTGGGAGGTTGTGTTTCCAATTATATGTAAAATGTAATATTTTGAAGGACTAACACATTTATCAACACAAACTGTCAAAATGTCCTGTCACATAAATTGGGTAGGGCATCAGATCTCAGTCTTATTTCACTTCTGCAATGGACCAGTGACACACCTTAAAAAGTCACTTCCCCCTCCTGTAAAAGGGGGAGAATTATTTTTTTGGTAATATATTTTGAAGTTTATAAATGTTGTGATAAGAAAGTGAAACAGTTTAATTTATTTCAGCATGATAAACTTTCATAGTATTTTCTCACTTACATCGGAATTAATTATTTTTCCTCTAATTTCATTTGATTTTACTTGAAATGTTGTTTGTGAGTATAAAAATGTCAAGGATATTACAAGTATACATTTTTTCATTCCAGGATGACATCAGTTCAAATTCAATGGAAGGCAGTGGAACAAAGCCATCTAAAATAGTACTGAAAGTCCTTGGTAGGGAAAATATAATGCAAAGCAAGTTTGATCATTCATAGCAGTCTTAATGAAAGCATTAGACACACCTTACCTTCCTGTATAATTTAGTAAAGCTAGAAGAAAGAAAGGGAACATTTTCCACAAAACATTCTGCAAAAACATGTCCCTTTTCCTCTCAAAATCTCTCAGAAATGTATTAATTGGAATATTTGACCAACTACAGTAAACTTCCGATAATCCAGCACCTTTAGGACCCAGGGGGTGCCGGATTATCAGATATGACGGACTATCAGAAGCGGGGGCTATGAGGGGTCTGGAGTGGGGTGGGAGGGGATGCCACCCCAGACCCTTCATAGCCCCCCCCTTACGATAGTCAGGCTCTGCCCCAGGAGTCCCTGATTCAGCCGCTGCTGGTCAGTTTCAGCAGTAGCTGAATCGGGGATGCCTCCTAGAGAGCAACAGACATG